ATAGTAAGAAGCAATTCACTATCCACACAGTTTGAGTGTGGAAGTGCGTCTGTGATGAAAAGCACATGGCCTGAACATTGTAGCGGGACAGAGAGAGGCGTATTACAGCGGCCAATACACATTTAAGCTTGCTTAAACTCGATCAAATGGAGTGCAAAATCAATAGCTGTAGTATGCTGATGATCTCATGAAGTCAAATTGAGGCTAAGAAGCAAAAGAGCATCAGGAATTCTTATCATAAGTGGCTTTGACTTGCAAAGTGTGTTTGCATAACATGAGCTTTAGTTAATGTTATAAATGGCTTTAAATGCTGCAAGGTGCATTAAAAATATGCAGACTCATCTGTTTTACTTACACCTTGATGCAACCATTTTGAATTAATCTAGTTTTCACTGGTCAAGCAATTCCATTTTGATATTCAAATGTGTGTGTCTATGTATAAGAGTGCAAGTGCACACTTTTTCATACTGATCCAATCAGTCTTAAATGAGTTAATAAGCCAAGGACACAAAGGAGATGACTCAGCTAAGGAGAGCCAGTGCTAATATTAGCATCTCACCCCATTCAAGACCTGCGCTGCACACATTAGCATCCAGCGCAGCCCCAGGATGTTAAACCTGCAGTTTAGGCCTCAGCTCTGAATCCTATTAGCACATGAGCCATGTGTTAGACCCAGTGCTGCTGTTGGTAGTTTGGTTAAATGGCTTCATTAAAGTCTTTCACAGAACAAATGTGACATATAGCAAGAACTGGATACAAGGGTCATGTGTCACACCAGGCCAATTAGAGAGGAGACAGTGCACACTTCTGCAGCTCTCACACTTTATCTAATGTCATCTTTTAGATCATTTATTAACTTGAATGTATGCACTGGATGAATGTCTGAACCACGTCAAAGAATTGGTGTTTTTATAAACATACAATAAAGCTTTTACATTCAGTAATGTCATGTCATTTTCAGAAATAAACTTTTGACCAAAAGTCAAAAACCTACCAAATCACACAGACAGCTTGTTATGTCATTAAGGGTACATTGCACTTTATATATCGATGAAAATAACAAGTGCACTTTCCAACAACACAGGTTCCCTCACATCTGAAAGCATAATGATATTCTTGTGGGTCTCCTTAGCTCATTGTTAGCAACAAAGGAAACTGCCGGACAGTTTAAAGATGATCTACATCCGTTGCTCATTTTTCCGTTTGTCTTTTTCTTTGGTGTTTGCTCTGGTTTTCACTTCTTCACTCCCTCACTCCCTCACCAGGTCCCTGTGTCGCTCGCCCTCCCCTCCTGCCTCTCCCTCTCCAAACACTGTGTCTTCCACATGGCCCGGATAATGAGTGCCGGAGCTAAACGAGAGGAAACACGGCTCACTATTAGGAGGCAGCGCTGACTGAAGGTTTTAAATAAACGAAGGGAACTTGAGGCCAAATTCTATTTCCAAGGACATAAACTAATGGAACAGGCAGACATTCTCAGTACAAATACAACCTCTGTTTAAACTACCGTAATAGTTGTAAAAATATACATGCCCATGTCGATTTAACTAGGAGACAGGCGGCAAGAGGACTCAGATGCATGTAAATGTATATATCCCATTGCTGTAGAGAAGCGCTGTTGACATGGTTTCAATACCACTTATTTTCAACAGTGTGGAAAGCCTATTACTGTGTATTCAATAACAACAATAAGGACAAGGAAAACACAAATGCTCGTCTGTGTCAATGAAAACTAATTAGGCAAATGTGTTTTCTTAAGTGTGTGTGATATGCTCTCAGGCAGAAACACACACTGTCATCTCTCTATGAGGTTAATTGGGTTATCTGGGCTGATTAGCATAACTAATTAGCCCCCTTGTTAAGGGATAAGTATTATTTATTCAATTAGTGCTCTGTGTGCAGAGACAAAGCACTGCTTGTTTAGTGCGCTTTTATCATTGGCACGGGTTCAAAATGAAAATGAGGCAGCGCTAAGTGTGCATGTGAGACCTGTGTGTGTTTCATCATTCTCACATCTACACAAACACCATGTGTCTGTTAAAACACACTCAACCCCCTCAAATCTATGTGCGCTGGGCACTTAAATCACTCATCATTATTAGCAAGCTGTTTTTCAGCATAATTAGCATTGTTAACCAGATGAGCTAAGTTGAGTCCCGCTGTGACAGTCACAGTGGTTGACACATGTCATCTCATTGAGCGTTGCAGAGGCCTGGTCCCCATCAGGTGGCTCTGCGACTCATTTGCATTTCCTCTGATTTCTGACAGATAGCATGGAGCTGACAGCAAACTGATGTTGAGCAAGAGCAGAAATCGCCGATGTTGAAATCAGCTTTAAAGTTAAGCAGACATGTGACACAGCCACAAGTTGTTGTTTTTTGTCTTTGGCTGTTGTTGTGTGTTATGAAACAAAGCCGTCTTATTCGCCTCATTTATTTCTTTCATGTTTGCAAATAGAGATGCTGCCTTTTGTTCGTGGGCCCTAACATGTAGTAAACATGGAAAAAGGCAAATCAACAGCAGTCCTCTACTCCTTAGCTCACAAGTGCAAACTCACAAACACACTCCAGCTCTCACAAATAACCAGGGAAGCAGAATGAACGAGAGAAAGGGAGAGGGAGCGCTACATTTACTGAAATTAAACATTTTCTCATCAGCCCGAGGGTGCAGCAGGCCCACTAATGTATTATTCATCCCCACTTCACAAAGGAACATTAATCAATTATGAAGATATGAGGATCTTAAAGTATAGAGCAGAGACGAAGAGCGGCCTGTTCGTATTAATATGCGGCCGCAATTGTGCGCCCCCCTCCCCCGCCCCCTGCTCTTCAAATCAATATTTTGCAGATTAATTTGGAGCGGTTGTGGCGAGAAGGCAGGATGGAGAGAGGAGAGGAGGTGGAGGAGAAGAGGGCGAGTGTCTGAGGTCTGAATTAAGGTGAAGTGTTTTGTTGTTTTTGTTTTTAACAAGTCTGGCAGAACAGGAACAAGATTTTGTTCTGTCCTGGTATGAGTAAACATGTGTTTACAAAACTGTATGTGGAATCGTCGGAAGACAGATCTCTGCGAATAGAGATCTTTTAAATGGTCAGAGAACAGAAAGATCAGCTCCCGCATCATTCAAAAAAGACCATTTCTAAGCAAGTAGAGTGCGATTAAGCCTGGAGCACTCTACACAGGTCAAGGAAAAAAGTTAACTCAGCCACGACCCACCTCTATGGGTAAATGTATCCTTAAGTGTCCGGTTTTGAGCTGCCCTCTCCGCTTCTAATGCGCTCTTCCGCTTGCCCAGAGTGCCTTGCTTCCTCGTGTGTCCCCTGTTGTCCCTGTCTGCGCCTCTCTTCTGCCTCATGCCCATGTTTCCTGTCAATTATGAGCAGTCTATACATTTATTATTTGTCACAAGCAAAGTTAACGACACACAGTCAATAAGGTGTCGGGAAATGACTTGGGGCCCATAATCTGTCCTCAGCTATTCATGTAGGTTTAAGCTACAAAGTCATATGATTTTTTTCATCAACAATATTTAACCTTCACACTACTAAAAACACCAGTGTCACCACAGTAAAAGAGTTCCTGAAAATGCCAGCTCCATGTTGACTCTCAGCTTAGAGATGCAGATGTATTTCATGTTGACGGAGCTCCCGGCTTTCACGACTGTCTAACTCATAAAATACGTGGCATCTTTCACAGTTTACACATTAAAGTAGACTAATACTTAGACTTACTGTTGATATTTTTTAATCAACAACAATGTCTGTATTTACTTAGAAATAATGTTTATTTTAATAGTCACATACAGCGGTTCAACCTTTTACTGGCTTATGTATATATGTTGAACGTAATTTTGTCAATTACATTCTAGTCTAATTAACATCCATTTTAAGAATCGATAAAGGGCATTTTATCTCTTTCAAATGCTAATAATATTTCACCTTTTAAAATTCAGAGACCGTCCATGTACATGCATGTAAAATTGCAAAGATCAATTCATTATTTACTCAACTGTAAATTAAAATTTCAATATGAAATAATACACTGAAAAGACAGCAATGAGCCAGGAAGTGTTTGAAAGCTAAACTCTTAAAAAATGATAGTTGAGATGCAATGCGCCACACGTTTCTCATTTTATCCCCAAAACGCCGTGTACGGAAACACATGTTGAATGAAGAAATACATCAACACTCCTCAAAAAATGCGCTTTACTTAATGTCATGTTCCGGCAGAGACTCTATAATCAGACAAACCACTAATTAGCACCAGTGCAAAAGAGTCAATCCAAAAGAGCATAAACAAACAGAACGCAGCCAACTCGTAAACAAGCAACAAGTCTGGCTTCACCACAGCTCAGCCAGTACATGTGTGTGTGTGTGTGTGTGTGTGTGTGTGTGTGTGTGTGTATGTGTGCAAGTGTAAGCCGCAGCAGATAGTAAAACAGCAGTGGGTAATTTAGTGACACCCTATAAGGAGGTGTGGGAAGGCCGTAAAAAGTCTCTTCTAATCCCGGACGGAGAAGCCATGTTTGTTACCCAGGGCCTGGAGATATGCTGGTAATTCATCACACGCGCCTCAGCCTCCTGTTAAACCTGGCTGCACACAGAGCGCTCCTAGCTCCGCTGCCAAACCAATATCGTAAAATAAGACTTCTGCACCTCAGAGACAACAATAACAAGCACGCCTCGCTTTAAAACTTGTTTAAAATTGCAGGTGATCGGAGACTTTACCTGAATTATCGTGCCGGAATGAACTTCCTCCTTTCTGTAAATTCATCGGGTTGACTTTTATTGAACTTAACTTCATAATTTGGGGAGCTGCAGTATTTTTTTTTCTTTTTGTATTTAACTTTAGAAAAGACTAAGAAAGAAAATTACATTCTACTAAAGGCTGCAAATTTTAACAGGTGTGAGACTAAGTCAGCACTTATCTGAAATTAGTATATGCTGTACTTAAAACCAGGGAAATTATGTCTATTACCGTTTCACTTTGCTCTTCATTCTCTCTCAGCTCTTTCTCCAGATCACAGATGACCACGTCCTTGGTCTGCAATTGGACTTCAAGGGCCTTTCGTAAAGTTGTAATTGCAGCCATGGAATCCAGGCTGCAGCGAACAGAAAACAGAAAATAGATTAACGGCAATCACATTTCAAATTGCCAAGTGTCATTAATTCAGATGTGCAGATCCCTTAAATTGGTTATCAAGTGTTAGATAGTAAATGCAACTGCAGCATTTTGGGGACTAAATTTAATTTAGCAATTTCTCTTTTACCTCGCCGCCCTTACTAGATGACAAAATATGATGTTACTTGATATATTTGTAGTTCTCTAATTCCAAACAAGAAAATAAATAGGCAAGAAGCATGCGGTAAAATTTAATATTTGATTCATGAAAAAAAAACTAATTTATAGAGCGCAAAGAGATGCTGAGCCGGGTGATTTTTGTGGCTTGTGACAGGAGCAGGAGGAGATATGAGTTTTGGTGTGTATGTCGGAGTAGCGTATATATATTTATGTGTGCGCATTTCCCAGTGGTGAAAAAAACTCTGCCCAGACACCTTTCTGCGTCACCCATGACAGCTGTCACACACCCGAGATGGAAGATGGTAAAAAAAGGTTCTTAGCGCGTCGCAGTTTGGAAGCACATTTAACTACACACACATTTCATATTTACCAGACTCCCGAGATGAGCCGCTCTGATGAAACTTTGCACAGATTAAAAATGCTAAAGTTGCATTTGATCAAGCGTGTCTACACAACCAAGCAGCAAAGGATTGGGAAAGATTCGACAAAAGTGACATCTGACGGGATAGAGGCCTCTGAGTTAAATCTTTCAGTTGGAAAGGGGAAAAAAACTTCTTTGAAACAGAGAATGTACATAAAAATGATTTTAGAAGAGATGCAATGTATGTGTAGTAGAAGCATTGTGAAGGCGGTTGATTTGTTGTTTTAAGAACTCTGCTCTCGCAAACTAAACACAAACATTCTGTGCAGATAAAATACAATTCGTATCCTAAGAGTGTGTGAAAACTTCTGTAAAAGACAAAACATGTTCACTTTCTCTTTGCACTAACTGCAATGATACATTGAAAATAGCTCAAACTCAGGCAAACTTATTTTCCTGTCAGTTTGGGCGAAAAAATATTAGAATAATCTAAAAATGTTGAAGTCATTTTTTTCAGTGCATAATGGTTTAAAATGGGAACAGGTTGAAAATGGGAAGAGGTGCTGTATGAAAGGAACTGCAGCCAATTTCATCCGTTTTTTCACCTGCGCAGCAGGCAGTAGCCTTGTGTGTGTGTGTCAACATGCAGACGGCTGCTTGAGCCCCACTAACTGTCATACAGACATACGTTGTCATATTGTGATGACAAAGTATTAATTTCATTTGAAAAGGACTACAGCACACATAATATAAGCCAAAGAAGTGTGCATGTAACGCATAAACCAGAAAAGTTATTTGATCAATATGTGTTATTTATTTCCTTATGCTGCCGCTTCTTTTGGAAAATGCATATTAAAATGCAATACAGCCGGATGTATATTATCTGCAAGTCAAAATGCAAATATATTCATACAATGCCTGCGGTGAGAGGTAATGATTATGCATGTAACAAATGAGGCTATATATTTTACCCTATTGTAATATACATGGCTGTAAACAAATGACAAAGTGTCAGGCCAACAGATGAACAGGGAATTCCTATTTAGAGCTCTAAGTGTTGTTATGATGACTGTGTGGACAGAGATGGCAGGGCCAATGTGACTGAAGTGTGTGTGCGTTCCCACAAGTGTGTATGATATTAAAGCAGACTCACAATTTTTCAAGCTGTCACTCAGGCCTATTAGGCAAAGCTAACAAAATTAGTCATGAATATGCAGTAATAAAATGCAAATTGCCACCCCTTTTTCCTGTTCCATGGATGTGTGTGCGCCTGCATTTGCCCTTAGGGCTAGAGACATTGGCTCTGTAAACCTAATTCTTTCTACATCATTACAGCAACCAGGCATAATTCATAAACATTCATGCACTGGCATACATGCATACACAACACCCTGGTCTTAATTCTGCCCTTTTACATGCCAGGGAAAGGCTAATGCACTGTTCATTGTAGTCATCCATTTACACATTGAGAGGAGACAGAGGCACTAATGTCAAGGGTTTTTTCACAGAAGCGTGCGCAGGCACACACAACTGTGAAGTGTGTCTACTGCCTTCCGTCCCCAGGGTGATGTTTGACACAGCCTGGGTGCTGCCACAGCAATTAACCCTCTGTTAATGAGAAGAGCTCTGTCAAGCAGCCAGATGGCACCAGCTGGCATGCTGCCACATCCCCAGCACACACACGGCGGGTGCGCGCACATGCACACAGTCATATGTGTGCAGGTGCACTCGGTGTCACCCTGCTGTATGTCTAACTGTTGCTGCTTATCAGGGTCCCCTCCCTCTCAGCTTGTGCTGCATTGTCTTCTCCTGCATCCTCTTCCCTGTCCCTCCATCTCTTCACTCCCTCTCTCCTTGCCTCCCCCTCCTCCCCCCTCACTGTGGCAGCTGCTTATCCATGTCGCTGCACTGCAGATGTCACAGCGCTCCGGCTGTGAGAACAGCAGGAGGAAGCACCAGTGTGAAGCACAAGTCTGGAGAAGAGTAGAGTGTGTGACATCTGTGCATTTGACAGAAGCTTTCGGTAAAATTAACGTTTTGTTAAACACATAATTGTGCAAACACAAATTCATGAACAGTTGAATTAAATTCAGCTAATTCTAAAGAGTGTTGTACTAAGAAGCGTGTGGCAGTGTTTGTTGTGATTGCCATTACTGGTCCAGGGCACAGTCTGTCAGCTCATTGAAAGTTGGGAGACAGTTCGACACAAACAACTAGTGCTGGCACAAGCTAAACAACAATCTAACAGTAATGAACCCGCAGTCTACAGCACGTCTTATGTATCTTTGCGTTTCCAAAAAAGTTTTTGAACCACTCAAATACTTCTAGGGGCACTGCAGGACGGGAAAAGTTTTTTACCTTTCCCAAATGAGAATGAGGATATTGTGTCAAAGCTTCTTTTCCCTATAACTAACTTTAAGCATTTGACTGCTTTTGGCAACAGCGCTCACGTTTACTCAAGCGGAAAAAACTCTGCAGGAGATTACACTCCGAGAGAAGAATTAAAAAATTGGAAAGAGATGGAAAATACAAAAGTGACACCCGCTCACACATCAATACATCAATAGATCAATGTGTATGTGTGTTTTGTGAGGCTCTTGGATGGAAATATTTAAATATTGTGCAGATAAACAAAAAGTGAGGAATGGAAAGAAGATGAAAGCGGTTTAGCGTGTACAGAGACACTCACACCTGGCTGAGTGATGCTACCCTGGAGGCTGGCTTCAATCTGATGTTTTTAATGTTGACGCTGGTGGCAACAAACAACACACACTCACCCACCGTTTCAACCTGTCATCTGCCTCCTCCTGATTTACCCATTTCATTTACCTCCTCTTACTTTGTATTATACATGCACAGCCATTTAAAGAGCTCCAGGTGCAATGTTAAATCCACGACTTTGTGACAGCCCGTGCCCAAACTGAAGATCCATCATGGCCTCCTGCCATGATGAGAGGAGAAGGCTGCCACACACTAGACTGGCTGTACCACACTGAGCCAGACCAAGCCATTTCAGCTTGGCTGCTTGGTTTAATTGCACCACAAGCTGTCAAACCACTGTCTGGTTAGTCTGCACAATATTTGGATGCCCTCTTGCTGTTCAGGAAAACAATATGAAATATAGACTTAGCGATGATGTCCCTATGTTTTGAATTACTTTTTGACATAGCATGGGAGGATTTTGCAGTTTCAAATAGTTCTATCAGGAAAAGAAACAATGTTATCACTTGAATATCCTGTATATTTTCAGTTCCTATTTCAGAGTACTTCTAGATTTCTGCAAAAGAAAATAATTTGGATGGCCAGTGTTCATATATAAACTGTAGCCAGTGATACATGTTTAGGGTCATGTGACTTTTCTCCTCATTCACAAAGTTGTAACGGGCACCCATATACTCTGTGGTGCTTCTTTTTTCTGCATTTCAACAGTAAATAAGTTGCACACAAAGAATGCACAGGTGTACATTCATATTTTTACCAAAAACAACATTTGACACATCTCTCTAATTACCAATTGAAATTATTGCAATTTCTGGGCATTGAGTGGGAAAGGGTTGCATCACGAGCAAGTACAAATTGAATGCTGTAATGAATGCTACAATGCAGTAATAATATTTAAATCCATGTGCAGAAAAGTTCTGAATAGTTTTGGGGAAAAAATGATATGTAGAGTAATTGACAATTTCACTAAGTATAAGTTTATAATAAGATAACTTTCTCCTAAAAAAAGATTTTCATATCAAATGTCTCAAGCCTAATATGACCAGGTCTCTCACTGTCAGCGCAAGAATGTAGAATACATTTATGTGCATGAAATTATGGATTCATTCGGAACATGATAGTTTCAATGGTTTTTCCAAAAAGTGTATAAAAATTTTAAGGTATTTCTTTTTTACAAAAAATCCATCAACGAGAAACAGAACAAGTCTTGAGGGGCTGGAGCCGTGCATGGTGGGAGATATCATATAAGAATTTGAATATTGCCAAAGGGACAGTGGTGTTGCAGCGGCTCCCTGAGGACCCTCTACTTCCCCAAGGAGAGACGAGTCCCCGAGGCCAACTCTGCTACCTCTGCGTGCACTCGCCTGCTGCGCGTGGAGGTGCGCGGTCCACCCAGGAACTTATTATAATGCCACTTATTAGCTCATTGGTTAATAGTGTAGAGTAAACTTTTGACAAGACATTTATCACAAGAAGCATGTACCATATTTAAATACATTACCGGAGTGTGCTGTGGGGCCAACACGCTCATCCAGAGACACAGCCCTGAGCCGGTCCTCAGAGACCTAAGGGCCACACACAAGAAATGTTACAATATTGTTAGTGGTCTGGTTTTAATTAGAAATCTCACAAGGCACCAATTAGCTCAGTATTGTAGACCGTGTGTTTTTGTCCAACTGATACAAGCCTTGACAGGATGCGAAACGTGTAAGTAGCCTTGTTAATTAGTTAAAATGTTCACCTTTTTGGCTGTGAACTTGACAATGCTTCATGGGAAAACGCAGGAGTTAATTAATTGTTTTAATCACAGTTCTCAAAAATAAAATGTGTTAATTATCACTCATGCATTTTTAACCACTGGATGTGAGGTCTAAAAGAGTGTTAGCGGGAAAAGGTGAGAAATACTTGTTAATTGCTAACAAAGTAGCACTTTTTTGGCCCTTGAAAACATAATAATGCATCATGGGAAAATGTAACTATAAACGAAAGAAGCAGGCAGCATACAACTTAAGAGACTATTCCGGTCAATGTTTCTCTGATTTCCTATGACAGGATCAAGTACGCACAAATAACCCAATTCAAATCAGGGAAAATAAGACTAACAAGATCAAATGGCCTACAAAGATGAAGCAAAATTCAAAATGTGATTATGATAATAATAATGCGGTAGTTAGGCTTTCATCTAAAGACATATTTGATGTAACAGTAGCACAGGAAGTCATTGGCTTTGAAAGGAACGCTTTGATACTCGGCAACACAACACTTGTTCTGTTGAATTTATGATTCCTACTAATGCCAGACTTAAATAACCCCTATTAGGCCGACTGCATGATTGTAGCTATAGACATGGAGTTGTTTGGTTGGAGAAACCTGAGCATAATACAAGAGGTTGAAGTATAGTAAGCTATACAGGCTTAAGATTAAACAATATTTGAGAATTCATATGGGTCATTAAAATACAAAGGACGTTTATTTGTAAATTAACTGCAACAATTAAATATCACAAATTTTAGGGAAAAAACAGACCAGGATTAGTGTCCATATACGATTCCATGTTTAAAGGAGAGAAAAGAAAATGCAGCAGGTCCGGTGAAATATGGGTCACTCTATCGTAGTGGCGACAGGGGTCACTCAGGGGAACGGAAATCGATGGTGACAGCAATGACTCACCGGTCAGCGTTTGTGAGGATGGGGTCTGGGTCTAAACTAAGTAGATTTGTAACGTAAACACAACCTGTTTATTTGTGTACTGATGGGGACATTAAAATGCAATATGTAAAGTGGGGTTGGAATGGTTCACTTTTGAGCTGTGCATTTCAAAGCCAGTTGGGTTTCAGTGCTCTTGCGCGGTACCAAGGAAGTTTTTACAATATAGCTGGGGAAGAAGCCTATAGTTAAAACTGGGGTACATCAAAACAGACAAAGAGTGGATCACCCTCACAAATCAGAACGAAGTGTCAAATTCACAGGGCTCTTTCTTACAAGTGCCCACAATAATGGTTTTATCTGTTCACAAAATTGTACTTTTCAAACATTATTTTAAGATATTTTAAGATTGCAAAAAATATTTGACAACATATATACTGCGTTAGACCTTGACATATGATCCTCCGTTTATTATCATTTATGTTATATGTATATCACCCATGCACAATCTAAAAACCTGCAGTTTTCCTCCCCCCATCATAAAATATTGATATTCCACAGCAGCCTTTCGTGTGACAATGGAGAGACCTGGCACACAGCGGGGTCAGCGGCTAATATAGGTAGATTTGTGTGTGCGTTGGCCAATAGAAAATATGTGTGTCTTTGCATGCGTGCCTTATATACCCTTGGGTTAGCAGGAGTTACGACCTGCTTACATTATTAAGGTGAGTAGTAGGCAATGTTATGTATGCCTAAACAGCCAGTCAATTCATTACAGATGCAATCCCCTAAGTACACGACTCCGCGCACGGCTTCCTCTCCGTCCTCTGCCCCCTCTGAACTGTAAAGCGGACAAAATATTGGTGTGATGTCGAGGCGCTTTAGATAAATCACAAACAAGAACAAATTAATAATACAAAATAAAACAACATTAGCTGATTAAGTATGTATGGCAGAGTGGCAGATGTAATTTACAGGCAGCTGAGGTTCGGTGTCCGGAATAAGGTCTCATTATGGACCCGATTGTGCGTGTGTGTGCGTGTGTTTGTGTGACTTCATCCTATCGAAGCATTATGAAAAAAGCCCACAATCTAAGGTAATAAGCTCGGTGGAGGTTATGGCCGTGGTAAGTCATTTGTTAGAGGCAAAAGCACTCAAATATATGCATGTGTTTTTAGATGTGAGAGATGCAGTAATGCCATTATGAGTGGTGCGGAAAGTCTACCGTTGACCGTCCTAATGGTTAAAAACACAAGTGGAGGAGGAGAGGCAAAAGAGCAGATTACACAAACATTGCATCATATTGGATAGATCCATACTAATAAGACCTAGTGTTGAGACAAACAGAAAAATATGCTTAAGAACGTTTAACTATTCAGAAGAAAACATGTCTTAATGAACTGGACTAAAAGTTGTGTAATAAAACTTTTTGAAAGAAGACAAATTATGACTTTTTAGGCTTTCAAGTATTAAACCATGCACAGATTACTATTTACGTGTTTTTCTCCTTTTTCAATGCATTCTGAAACAACTTATTACTATTTATGTTTTTTTAACAAGGACAAAGCGGTGGGCCGAGATCAGTGGTAGTTGAAAGCTGACAGTTTCATATAGCACTCACTGCTCAATGGTTATTCCACATGATAATAAATATTTTTTGTATTTAAATCCGTTTGTTTTTGTATAGCCCAAAATTACATGAGCAGTCGTCTTGAAAGGGTTCACGTATAAATTTGCCAAATGAATCTGTACCAAAACACACGCATGCTTTGTTTCCCTTGTTTATTTTCAAACAGTAAATTGGGAGTCAGCCCGGGCAAGAAATGTATATTATTTTTATGGCAAACATGTTTTATAGTATCTTGCTTAATCACCAATTAGGAATGTTTTAGATTAAAGCGAAAAAAATCTTCCTGCGCATCTCTCGGCCGCTTCGTTAAAATCAGGACTAATTGTAGTAGCTGCACTTAAGTATTTCCATTGATGGTTACATAAACTTCCTGCTTTCCACCAGTGGCACATATCAGACACATGGAGTCATCATTTGGAGTACTTACAGTCCAGTCCTGCTGCTGATATATTAACAAAGGTTTACAAGGGCACTGGGCTACATATGTAAGTTTGGCCTTATAGCTGACCTTACAATGCACTTAGTATCCTGTACAGAGAGTAATGCAACAGCCACTCCTACAAGCCATTTATTCCAGCTAACGACCGTCAAGCTCTCATAAATCAGCATTAGGAACCTCTTTCGCCCTCTCGCTCTCATTTAGTTCCCCCTTCTCCGGCTCCTGGCTTGTCTCTAGCGTTCATTTTACCCCTCCCATTATGTTTTTGTCCCCTTGTCTCATAGCTTAGATTTAACACTTTTAAGCAAATTCAAAATGTCTTCACTCTGCTACAAAATCTTGTAATACATAGACACAACGGCGCTGACGAAACTTTAACAGAACAAACTTGGGTCTGAAATATGCCTGGTGCAAAAGCAGTATCAACAGACATCTCAACAAACTGGCTTGATGATGAATTTATGAGGATCAAACCAGGTGCAAACAAGGAGCAAAGTCAAATAATTAAAAGTCATTCAGTGGAAGAAAATATTAAAATCCTGAGTTTAGGATATTTATCAGTATTGGATGGAATGAATGTTTGCCCGCTAACAGTAGCAGCTTTTGGACACACAAAAGTGGAAGAAAACCCTTTTTCCTATAATTTCTTGTTTAAGTATGCCTGCTTTAACTAAGGGTCTAATGGTTTATTTATGTTGACAGTTAAGACCACTACAGAGGCATAACATAATTATATTTTTTACAAGCATATGTTATCTGGATTTGTTTTAGCCTTCCTGTAACCCGGTCGCGTTTCTGTACCCTGGCTTCCCGTTAATGCACTCCTTACACCCAGCACTCTCTCACGTTAAGAATACTCCTTTCCCCTGCTGATAGAGACGGCATTTCTGAAATGTGTAACCCAGTATTGGCACCTCTATTGATTTTAATTAAGCTAATTAGTTCATTATTCCAAGGATCAAATGGGGGCATCCATTACCTCATGGCGAGAGACTGTGAGGTTGGGGAGAGTCTGAGTTGGGGTGGGGGCACTAGAGTTAATATGGTAATGAAGACGATCAATTATCACTCACAGCAAAGTCATTAACAACAGCATTAGCATAGTCAACCATCGCAACCTCCTGACCTCCTCGCCGTGCACTGCCTGCTCCCCACACTCGCTCCGAGCAGCTGTTACACAAGCATCTCCATCAGCATCTCTGTAAGACCACGTTTGCAAGAATAACACAAAAGGTCATGCGGTTAGAACACTTCTTTTTTTTTTATGCGAACCTGAAGAAATTGTCCTGCTGTATTGACTTGTATACGCTGTATGTGGAGGACAGGGCTCTGTTACTTGCCATTATGTGGAACCAGAGGAAGAAGCCTGTTTAAATTGTCACCAAAGTCACAGTAGAAAACTCAAGAAATACTTGGCAATAAAATGGCAAACTAAACTTCATTTAGAGATTGTACCAGCTGAATATCACAACATTCAAGAAGACATACAAAAATACATTGTAACACAAGACAAATTAAGTGGCTAATTGCAGCAGCTCGTACAACGCTTTGGATTTCATCATATTATGGTCACAAAACAAACTCTGTAGTGCCCATTACCCCTATGGCATCAACAAGACCATAGACAACGATTCAATCAGACGTTAGCCAAGCTCCTATTACCAAGAACATTGCATCGTTTACATGGTGGAACGACCCATAAGTAGTCCTAAATGCTCTTCATTTGATTGGATTTTACATTATGGACATCAGAGCAGAAATACACAGTTGTCCCCTGACTGCTAATAGACTGAGGAGAGGAGCAGAGCATTTGTTTAAGTACTTGTTTTCCAATTTAGAGACGCAGAATACACTCAAAGTAACTTTAACGGACAGCGTAAGATTCACAAGAGAACATGCGATCAGTGTCTTTTTCTACTTCAAGATTTGTTAATAAAGATGAATTAAGTTGTTTGTTTTTTTTTCTTTTCAAACTGTATTAATTGGGAAAATATTTACACACTTTGATGGATAATCTCCACAGTAAATATGTGACTGACTGAAGTCTGAAGAAGTCTCCGAGTGTGTTGTTTAACCACAATCGTTTAGGTTTATTTCCTGTTTCATTTTGTAACTTGTAACTTAACTGCTGTATCTTCCTTAGTTCTACTTCCTGCTTTTATTAAATCATTTATTTTGAAGTCCTGCCTTTTAAGTGATTTTTCTAGAATGACGGTACCACACAAGGTCCGCTTCATTTTCATTTTCTATCAAGCGCCTGAATCTTTTTTTGGAACGGGCCTCAACCCTTCATCTCTAGAGTTGTTGAAGGAGCAAGACTCTCCCTCCTTGTCTGTCTTTGTCCTGGGCCAGTTGCTTTTGTCGTTGAGTGTTCGCTACCCTCCTCTGTCCTGGCCCCGTTGGGTTCTTGTCTCCGTCCAAGAGGTTCCAATTCCTGCTCGTTCTCTTCAGTCCCTGCTCCGGTTCCCCCTCCAGTTCCCTCTACTGTTCTCTCTCCTGTTCTCTCTCCTGTTCTCTCCTGTTGTTCTCTCCTGTTCTCTCTCCTGTTCTCTCTCCTGTTCTCTCTCCTGTTCTCTCTCCTGTTCTCTCCTGTTCTCTCTCCTGTTCTCTCTCTTGTTCTCTCTCCTGTTCTCTCTCCTGTTCTCTCTCCTGTTCTCTCCTGTTCTCTCTCCTGTTCTCTCTCCTGTTCTCTCTCCTGTTCTCTCCTGTTCTCTCTCCTGTTCTCTCTCTTGTTCTCTCTCCTGTTCTCTCTCCTGTTCTCTCTCCTGTTCTCTCCTGTTCTCTCTCCTGTTCTCTCTCCTGTTCTCTCTCCTGTTCTCTCTCCTGTTCTCTCCTGTTCTCTCTCCTGTTCTCTCTCTTGTTCTCTCTCTTGTTCTCTCTCTTGTTCTCTCTCCTGTTCTCTCTCCTGTTCTCTCTCCTGTTCTCTCTCCTGTTCTCTCTCCTGTTCTCTCCTGTTCTCTCTCCTGTTCTCTCTCCTGTTCTCTCCTGTTCTCTCTCCGGTTCCCTCTACTGTTCTCTCTCCCGTTCTCTCTCCTGTTCTCTCTCCTGTTCTCTCTCCTGTTCTCTCCTGTTCTCTCTCCTGTTCTCTCTCCTGTTCTCTCTCCTGTTCTCTCTCCTGTTCTCTCTCCTGTTCTCTCCTGTTGTCTCTCCTGTTCTCTCTCCTGTTCTCTCCTGTTCTCTCTCCTGTTCTCTCTCTTGTTCTCTCTCCTGTTCTCTCTCCTGTTCTCTCTCCTGTTCTCTCCTGTTCTCTCTCCTGTTCTCTCTCCTGTTCTCTCTCCTGTTCTCTCCTGTTCTCTCTCCTGTTCTCTCTCCTGTTCTCTCTCCTGTTCTCTCTCCTGTTCTCTCCTGTTCTCTCTCCTGTTCTCTCTCCTGTTCTCTCTCCCTGTTCTCTCCTGTTCTCTCTCCTGTTCTCTCTCCTGTTCTCTCCTGTTCTCTCTCCTGTTCTCTCTCCTGTTCTCTCTCCTGTTCTCTCTCTCCTGTTCTCTCTCCTGTTCTCTCTCCTGTTCTCTCCTGTTCTCTCTCCTGTTCTCTCTCTTGTTCTCTCTCTTGTTCTCTCTCCTGTTCTCTCTCCTGTTCTCTCTCCTGTTCTCTCTCCTGTTCTCTCCTGTTCTCTCTCCTGTTCTCTCTCCTGTTCTCTCCTGTTCTCTCTCCGGTTCCCTCTACTGTTCTCTCTCCCGTTCTCTCTCCTGTTCTCTCTCCTGTTCTCTCCTGTTCTCTCTCCTGTTCTCTCTCCTGTTCTCTCTCCTGTTCTCTCTCCTGTTCTCTCCTGTTGTCTCTCCTGTTCTCTCTCCTGTTCTCTCCTGTTCTCTCTCCTGTTCTCTCTCTTGTTCTCTCTCCTGTTCTCTCTCCTGTTCTCTCTCCTGTTCTCTCCCTGTTCTCTCTCCTGTTCTCTCTCCTGTTCTCTCTCCTGTTCTCTCTCCTGTTCTCTCTCCTGTTCTCTCTCCTGTTCTCTCTCCTGTTCTCTCTCTGTTCTCTCTCCTGTTCTCTCTCCTGTTCTCTCTCCTGTTCTCTCTCCTGTTCTCTCTCCTGTTCTCTCTCCTGTTCTCTCTCCTGTTCTCTCTCCTGTTCTCTCTCCTGTTCTCTCTCCTGTTCTCTCTCCTGTTCTCTCTCCTGTTCTCTCTCCTGTTCTCTCTCCTGTTCTCTCTCCTGTTCTCTCTCCTGTTCTCTCTCCTGTTCTCTCTCCTGTTCTCTCTCCTGTTCTCTCTCCTGTTCTCTCTCCTGTTCTCTCTCCTGTTCTCTCTCCTGTTCTCTCTCCTGTTCTCTCTCCTGTTCTCTCTCCTGTTCTCTCTCCTGTTCTCTCCTGTTCTCTCCTGTTCTCTCTCCTGTTCTCTCTCCTGTTCTCTCTCCTGTTCTCTCTCCTGTTCCCTCTCCTGTTCTCTCTCCTGTTCTCTCTCCTGTTCTCTCTCCTGTTCTCTCTCCTGTTCTCTCCTGTTCTCTCCTGTTCTCTCCTGTTCTCTCCTGTTCTCTCTCCTGTTCTCTCTCCTGTTCTCTCTCCTGTTCTCTCTCCTGTTCCCTCTCCTGTTCTCTCCTGTTCTCTCTCCTGTTCCTGCTGCGGTCCGAGGCTGTAGTGTCTGTCTTGTACTTGAACTGGATTCACTCACACCATTCTATCCTTGTCCAGGAGCCACTGCAGATATCTAGCTCCGCCTTGAGTGGTCTTCCCCCTTGAATGTCATTTATCTTTTAGCTATTTGTTTTCACTCCCTGTTTGGTTCAGTTTTGTATTTTCACTCTGGATTTTGTTTTTTTGTTTTTATCCTTTTATTTGATAACTTTTTTTTCACCAGTCCTGCATTTTTAGGTTATTCTTATTGGCCACATTATAGAATGTTCTGAATACTTGTACAAGCTGATACTGTACGGTACATTATTTACACACCATTGCTCCTTATGAACATTTCAAATTGGCAGCTTTGAATGTTTAGAAATGCATAGCTTTATATTGGCATGACCCTTTCTCTCATAAACCCAGCCCTCTGACCTTGTTCATAGAAGCAGATAAGTACTATGATGTACAATGGAGCGTAATTACTTTTCACTGTGTGCGGTGACAAAAGTATGGCGCCAGATTTACGCCAAAAGTCCACACGCTCAAATAACACATACACGCGCAGCTTTATTTAATTCACACGCGCGCAAACTACTCTCCACGCGCACATTTCACACCACACGCGCGCAGACTCAGTACCACGAGCCACAATACGCGCGTGTGTGCGCTCGTGACCTGCCCTCTCCCTTCTCGTGGTCTTTGTTCTGCGCGCGTTGAACACTTTTGCCATCTCTTCTACGCGCGCGTGAAATACTTTTGTCGCTTGGGGGCGGGGCCAGTGAAAGGTAAACAGCCCACTGGGTTTCTTTCTGGGCGACGTTACAGGCAAGTTGTATGTGCATAGCTGAGTGGCTAAAGAAGGAAGAACACTGGAGCAGACTTTGTGTTTGTGTCCTACATTATCTAATAATCAAAAAGTCCAATCCATAAGTAATCACTAGGTTACATGATGTCGCTAGATGTAGTTATCATGATCAGTCAAGTTAAAGCAAGCTCAAACAGCTAAAATGCTAACCGGCAGTTAGCATTTTAGCTGTTTTGCTAAGTTAGCTAAGGAGGCTCCTTCGTTTTAGTCTGAGGAGAAACAGCTGTTCATGATTTAGCCTGTGTAGCCTTCTAGTCACAACAAAAGCACATAAATACTTTAGTGCTAAAGTATTCAGCTCTAAAACCACAAAGTGTGTGGTGTTTTTCCTTGATTACAACAACTGGAGAACAAAAGTGATCAACCTGTATACCACTAAAAAGGCAATAATAACTTGAGCTAATGTTGCTTTTTTCCTTTATCAGGAGAACCATAGTCTGTGCCTTGCATCTGTGGAGAGGACTGCTGAGCTGAATGCATGGAGAGACGTGATGTGGATTTATGTTTTCTTTTATTTTGTGCATAACTACTAGTAAAAGTCATCCAGTGATCCTCCTTGTGTCGTGGTCCTTCTTCAGACAGCGCAGAACATGGAACACAACGCAGATTACACTAATAAAGGGGTTAACAGGTGTGCACCAGGTCAAGACTGTAATTGAACAATAAAAACAAGTTACAACGGTGCCCACACCCGTTACAAGTCCATTTCCTGCCATACAAGAACAGTTTGGGGTAAGGATGTACCCCAAGTCTTTGTGGCCATAGTTACTCCCAGGCATCATAAGGCTTTGACTTAATGCCCACTCTCTGACTGGGGAGCACATCTGCCTCAAAACACGGAACTCAGTACCAGAGTCAAAGTATTTCACATTCTTTACATAACACATAATTGTCTGCATCGATAGATTTATATGATTTAGGTTCTCTTTTGTATAGACACTGGGGGCCTGAGTGAGGTAATTATAGATATTAGGCCAGGTAACTGATGGCCATTTTCTCCTATCTACAACCCACTGTTCTGTGAGAATAGTATTATTATTACATGTTTATTTGACAGGCACAGAACAAAAAGTATTGTTACAGGTAACCAATGCCATGTTCATAGGCCGTATAGAAAACAGATAATTGGCAGTCGCTAAGGCATAAAAATATTAGAGATTTCAGTTCAGCAGGTAAAATGTTCCAGAGCTGTGGCTCTTCGACTGCAAACGAAGTCTGACCAAATGATGTTTTACATCTTGCCGGTCTGCAGTGTGTGTGGATCAGGAACTGGTGCCCATCGCAGAGGACCAATTTATGAAGATAACCTGCACCATCAGAACTATTCAGGGGTTCTGTGTAGTGTGTAGAGATGATAGCCATCCTAAACTAGCAAACACAATACAGGTACAGAAGCCAATTATGACAGGTTGAAACAGCTTAGCCCCAATTTTAAGTTCATTTTAATAAAAATACATGAAATCAAATGAAGTTTACTACTATTTAGCAATGTTAACAATTCAGATAGCTCATTTGTTTCAAAACTTTGTATACACATTTTTGATATTTGGGTTTATGGACTCACAGATTTATTGCTAGTTAGCATAGACTCATTAGGTCAACCCCCTATAATTATGCAAATAAAAAGCAAACAAATAACTCAGAGACAGTTTTATTAAACTTTGATAACGGTCCTGACATGATTCTGACAAAGCATTCAGTGTAAACAACGTACAGCGATCACAAAGGTCCCGGGATGTACCTGGCTAGCCTTGCGGCAACATAGGCTGATGAGAGAGAATATTAAACATTTACGAACTAAACATGTCCTGGTGTAAGCCTATAGGGTGTCCACAACAGTGTACATACCACGTTAAAGACTACAATAGCCAGCCCAGTTAGGGTTATAAAAAAGATATACAGTCTATGGATTAATCATATGCTTTCCATGCATAAGCATTTCATCTCCAAGCTGCAGTGGGCTGTTTACCTTTCACTGGCCCCGCCCCCAAGCGACAAAAGTATTTCACGCGCGCGTAGAAGAGATGGCAAAAGTGTTCAACGCGCGCAGAACACAGACCACGAGAAGGAAGAGGGCAGGTCACGAGCGCACACACGCGCGTATTGTGGCTCGTGGTACTGAGTCTGCGCGCGTGTGGTGTGAAATGTGCGCGTGGAGAGTAGTTTGCGCGCGTGTGAATTAAATAAAGCTGCGCGTGTATGTGTTATTTGAGCGTGTGGACTTTTGGCGTAAATCTGGCGCCATACAAAAGCATGGACATAACATAGAAGCAATAGTAAGGGCACAACATCAAGGGTCCTTTCTCACAGTGAATAAGAAAATAAATTACTTCTCAAGGAAAATTATGTTTTGAGGTGGATTTGACCTATTTTGTTTACATTCCCTCCTGATGAACATTCATAAAACAACTTTTTATATAGAAATATTTTCTTAGCTCATTGATGTTGACTGATCTGAGTTAGGTAGGCCTTGAACTTAGATTGTAACTTCAAAATTATTTCCAGAACACAGTCAATATCGTTTTTATGGATGATTTTTAATATAATTACTTATAAATTATAGAAATTCTAAAATTAATTGAAAAATTGCTTTCCTCTAATGATTCTATATTTTACAGAAGTGTAAATACATGAGACCTGCAGAGCTTATAGCTACATCACAAAAGTCAAACTAAATTCAATGGTGGACAAATCAGCTCCCATCCAGGCTTCGGTTGGGAGAAGAGAAGAAGAAGAGAAGAGAGATCCTTTATTCGTCCCCACAGTGGGGAAATTTCAGTGTTGCATCACAAGTTACAGAACAGTAGAAAAGGAGAGCACACAGCAAAAGTCAAGTGAACAATAGCTATACGAATTCAAATAAAACAAAATCTCTAACTCTAGCATCAATAACAAGTATAAAAACTAAATCTTGAAATAATAATTAAAATAAGTGTAAAAGTTTTACATTTGGCAAACTAAGAGGCAAGTATCAAGTACTGTGTATTATAGTGCGAGCAAAGTGTAGTTATATGTTAGCATCTGTACATATTAGCAGCAGCATGTTAAGAAAGTTTGACCTGATAATCTAATCAGGATTTTTGGGTTCTGGTCAGTGAGGTCTTTCACATCCACTTTCTCTCTTAAAAACAAATAAAAAAAACAAAGACTAAATATAAATCAGGCTTTGCCCTCTCCGGGTGGGTGAAGAAGTCCGACCTTGGGTGGAGGAGTTCATGAAACTCAAGGTCTTGTTCATGAGCGAGGGAAGGGTGGAGTGGTGCAGCATTGATGTGGTCATGGCCCACCCAGACATATGGTCATGAGCCATGGGCAACGATGACCTAAAGAATAAGTCACAATAATTCAGATTCCTCCGCAGAGTGGCTGGAAACTCTGTTAAAAGGATGCCAAGCTCAGCCAAACGGCAGGAGCTCCAGGTAGAGCTGCTGCTCTTCCACAGAAGCCAGTTGGCCTCCTGAATGCCTCTCTGAGATGTTTCAGCAATGCAGCAGAAGTAAGTAAGTAAGTAAGTAAAATGTATGTATAGAGCACCTTTCACAGATAAAAATCACAAAGTGCTCTACAAGGTAAAAGCAGATATGAATGTACAATAGAAATAAGACAAAAATAGAAAATAAAATAAAAACAAGAAATCAACCAAAAGCTGTCCTAAAAAGAAGGGTCTTTAGTCCCTTTTTAAAAGCATCGGCAGAGTTGACCACACGGAGGGACAGAGGCAGGGCGTTCCACAGTCTGGGGGCAACGGACTGGAAGGACCGGTCCCCCCGGGTCTTATAGCGGGTCTTTGGGACTGTAAGTAAATTCTGGCCTGTGGACCTAAGAGTATGGGGTCAAGAGGTCCGAGATGTAACAAGGAGTCTGACCATTTAAGGCTCTGAAAGTTAATACTAAAATTTTGAAGTCAATACGTAGTTTAATTGGGAGCCAATGAAGTGAGGACAGGACCGGGGTGATGTGAGACCACCGGGGGGTTCCAGTTAAAAGTCTGGCAGCGGAGTTTTGCACAAATTGAATTCTGTTAAGAGCACTCTTATTAAGACAAGTAAACAATGAATTGCAGTAATCAAGACGCGTGGAAACAAAGGCATGAATGATCATCTCCAAGTCCTTGGAGATGATCTGAGATGATAAAAACAGTTTCTAACGAGCTGTTTGGAGTGCGTGTTCAAATTCAGGGCCTGATCAAAAACAACCCCCAGGTTTCTGAGGGAGGAAGTTGCAGAGAAACCTCAGGGATAACCCAGGATATACCTTGGGATTCCCCTGCTGGAGGAAGTCTGGACGACTCAGCTTAGACTGCTGCCACAGCGATTCCACAATGGATAAAACGCAAGTATATGAAGGGATGGAGGGATAATACAACAATTATTAGGTTACAGTTCATCAGTATGTTGATCGTTTTAACCCAAAACATGGAAACAACGAAACAGGTTTGTGCAATAAAACGTGATTCGGAATTCAAGTGAAATGGTAAGTATAATGTTGGGCAGCCCAATAAGCGATGGACTGTTTACATCAGCCTGTAGGACTTAGAAGCTCCTTGGTTCTAACAATAATCTTGTTAAGACCAAACGAGGCAGAGGCCGGCAAACCAAACCCATCTCTGAAACCTTGTTACCTGCTGATGCACAGGCCGCCTCACACACGCTCCATTGTGTAACTAAATGATGCCTTATGACAATCCTGATGATTAGAAACCTCTCCTTTTCTAAATATGAGTGTGGATCTGTGTTCCTGAGCGCTACCGCCAAGATGGAAACATAATGCAATTTGCCACCTGTTACAAGTGCTGTGGCTTTATGAAAGCACCCCTCTGCTTCCTCATGCCATTTATCTGACAGGACAGAGGTCATCTCTGATTGGCAAGGCACAGCAAACAGGATGCTCTTCGAATTTTGGTCCAAATCAGAACTTAATGGATAAATAAATCTACACATGTAAGACTCTTGTTTTGATTCGGCTGATAGACAAAGGGCAACAGTAGCCCAAAATTCACCTTTTTAACTTCACTAGTTCTCTTCCTTCAGAAATTCTGCAAACAACAAGGACAATAAGAAGCATCAGCCTTTTAAAAAAAACATTCACAGGCGCAGACCCATTGTATATGGTTAAAGACTACAATAACAATAATGGCAGCGGTGGGATTCGAACCCACGCCTCCAGAGAGACTGGAGCCTAAATCCAGCGCCTTAGACCGCTCGGCCACGCTACCTACGACACGTGACTTGTCGTCATAGACTTGTTCTACTTCTAGCTCTATCGGAATTAGACAACATGTAGAATGCTTTGCCATGAATACACGTGAAGCACATGTGAGACGAAATATTATACTTCTAAAAAATACCTAAGATTATTGATTATTATTCTTTTGTAATCATTGCATGTCACGTCACACAACAAGCATAAAGTGACATGACTGCCCATCCAAGTAAGTCACCATATTGAGAACATCTGTCCCCAAAATACACGCATTGCAGACACAAAATATTATGGCACATGACAGTGGAGACAGTGTCTGCATACGTCCGTGTATTACCCTCCTTCCCTTACCTTACTTACTTTCTTTCTCGCAACGTTCGGTGAATATTACTACTCGAGAAGAAAAAGTTACTTGCTCCCTGCTGTTTATCACTGTGGCCACGTGTGAGGTTTGATTGGCACATTTTAGTCACGTGCGATTAAAACCTACTCAGGATTGGTCGTTTTCTGCACGTAGGGCGGACCTTAGCGATCTACCCGGAAGTATGCATTGTTTTCACGGACAAGACTCTTCTCACACTTCCATCGGTGGTCTGTCTTTGTAAAATGGGTGAATATTTACTCAATCTATGTATGTGCATGACGCTCGTGTTTTCCAAGTTGCAAGTTTTGTATGTTGCATCTGTCTAATAATACATAGAGCTAGCTACAACACCGACATGATGTTAGCTAGCTTGAAGGATTTGCTACCCTCACATTTACGTTTATATTCTGCATAGCAAGCATGATGCTATACTTCTTAACTTTGAATCGTAGGTTACTACTGCTGTTACTACGTTTCATGGGTAGAATTGCCATTTGCTCCCCACATAAGTCCATTTCCCATAAATAATCAGCGCCAGAGATCCAAATCTTCTGCATTGAGATTCAAGGCAAAGTTGATCTTATTGATTTTCAAGAGACTACTCTTCATTTTTCTCATCCCAATCATCACTGCTGTTATCAGTCTCGCGGTTATATCTCTCTTTTCCAGCAGCTTTGACTGAATTGCCCTCACACACTCTTCCTAACCTAATCCCTGCCTTGATTATCACATAATGCTCTTGCCTTATTATCAAAATAGAGCAGATTTAGGTTTTTGTTGTTACTGAAATCAACAAAAATAGAAGACAAAGAGAGACTGTGGTAAAGCTGGGTGAATGACGGTGATGAGAAACTGTTATTTTAAAATTTGAGCAATTTAGATTTCATTAATGGGTAATGACTTATATGGGAGCTCACTTAAAACATCATTATATGTTCAGACTCAACAAATGATCACACATCAAATCTCTAATTCCATTTTGAATTAATTCTTCTCAAGTTTCCAACCCTATATGTTTTAACATTAGTGAACACAATTGGTGGACATAACTTGCCAGGGTCTCCAAAAGCACCTGTACAGCTGTTATAAATGTGTGATGCATAAGAATATTTTTTTCCCAAGCGTTGCCATGTTAATTTTCAAGTTTACAAATGCTGCTGTGAAAAGTTCTACAAAGTTAAAGGTCTTTTTCATCAACTCCAGAGAAATCAACTTTAGTGCCCTTAATTTATTATGTGTTGAGCTTTTGCCTTCACATTCATTGTGCTTTCTGACCTATAAATAATTCATTACTTTTTAAGTTGTTTTTTGCCAAGCCTTGTACTTATTACTCAAACAGCCTGAGCGTACTCAACCTTCATATCACCGAAATCAATTAATTCTCTTAAATAATTTACCTTCCGTGCAAACCAGATTGAGCCGAGTACATTTTTGTATGTGAGATATCTATAACTGATGTGTGTTTTTGGCTCTCTGTGTTCAGGCCATAACCACGTGGCTCGGGCAAGTGGAGGGTGATTAGAGACATACGTGTACTCAACCAGAAGACCCCTCTGTGCATTTGCGCGCATTCATTTTTCATGAAACATACTCATAACAATTAGTCTGGTTCCCGCCTGGGTGATCGTGGCTGGCTCTTTAATGCCCGTGGTCTGCTGTATGACATCACTCTCTTAAAGTTGGAAATCTGACATTCCCATCCGTTTTCATCGTGAGGACATTAGCAGGCCGTGGCTAATAGGCTGTTCCTGGCGAAAGGGGCAATAAAGAGGAAGTGCAGGAGTGGGGGTAAAAATTGAGAGTGGCGAGGAGAAATGGGTTTTATTCACCCAAGCTTTTACACAAATTAATTTACATGACTGAGAGAAGAAAATGTAAAGTTGCAATTCAGTGCGCTTTGCCAAACGCGGGGCCTATTTCTCGTTACAAGCTTCATACCAGCCTAAGTGAATGTTTCTGCGTTATTTTAGCAAGTGAATTATGCAAACAAACATGCCTACATGCCTGGAAATGAACTAGTAAGACAGCAGCTGATTATTTTCACAAATGTAAAAGCTCTGTCTTGTGAGCATCTATCGGTCTGTTGTAACAGATGTGTAATCTAATCTGTCACACTCACTAGTGTCACCTTTGCAGCTCTCACCAATCCTCAGTCTATAGCTCCAAACCACTCATCCAGAGACATTGAAGGCAAGGTCAAGAATAAGAGGTAGACATCCTTTCACTTTTATCTATTGGTTATTCCCCAGGTGCAAGCCTCCAGTGTGGCCTGGCCTTGTGTTTCACTCCTTCTATTGTGACCAATACAGCCAAGGTCACACTAAATGGCATCAGGGGTTTGCATATGTCCTCACTTAGTTCACATCTATTTCCCTTCACCTGGCATGTAATCTATGCATGAGTTTTGGTTCATCATTTTGATCCCCATTAGCAGAGTTTAACAATCAGATACTCTTCCGGGGGCCTTTTTTTGTGTTTGTGGATTGTGCAATATTTAAAGAGTATAATGGTATTAAAGAGACTATATTTTCATTGTCCACCTGTGAATTCTGCCCTCCTCATTCGACCCAGTAGAGACTCAGAGAGGCCTTATAGACTTCGAGCTTGGTCTGTGGGACCAAGCTGCAGGATTCACTTTTTGTTCACATCTCATTATCATAGTAGTTTTATTTGTTTTTTCAGGCTTGGACAATGATCAGAACAAACAAAATATTACAACATGGTGGGAAAGGATGATAAAAATTAAATGTATATCATAATATTATTTGAATACTCTATTCAGATGATAATGTCTGAATCACAAGAGTGCTTGATTGTCCCTCTACATTTATTGATTTAAAGTAAAGAATTTTCTTGCCAAACATGCAGATTTCACAGATTATTCTCGCATGTTTTAATAAAAAAATATATATTTTTCAGCTTTGGCTTAAAGGAATGATTGCCATACAAATACTGCAGTGTTATAATATAGCCCCTTTGAAGCCCTAAACATTCCATATCCATTAATTTTGACTTTGTATATTGTTTACTGTACAATCCAATATATGTGGTAGGTCTTAAAAGTCAGATGCTTTTTGCACTATTGTTTCCCGTCTCTCCCCCTTCACCCTGGTCGTGGCCCTATTGCCTTGAAGCAATCTTGTAGCTTGTTCTGCTTTAGATTGGATATTGTTGTTGTTGTTGTTGTCTGTATGCTATGGCAGTCAGCCTTGAGTCAGTACGTTATCTTTGTGTGAGCAAGATGCACTGGTTGAGAGAACAAGGGGAGCGGACTCATGACCTGAATCAAATCAGAAAACCTTTTATAATATTTTCTGCAAAGTGTATGTTAAAGTGTTACATGCCTTTCTGAAAGACTGGCACGACCTGACTTCTTTTTCATAATTTTTTTTTGATTGAATTTCACAAAAGCTATCTGACACTGGCCTCCAATAGAGGGCATTTTGTCACCAGTTCAGTTGGTTGGATGACCCAGAAGAGTATTATCAAGTCAATATTTCACCTTTCGTCGCGCGAGTGTGTGAGTGAGAGGCGCATCAATCATAGCCTTCCGTATTCTGTGTGCAAATGCTCCACTGTCTATTAGATCTGCCGTGTCGCTCTTCTGTAAACACTGGCATTGACTGTGACTTTTGACTATTACATAAGGAACATGGATTTCCAGCTGTCCAAGGTAAAAGCGCTGTAAATTCGAATGCTTAATTTTTATAGGCAGCTTGGCATTGACTGAAGTGTCTGCTTGTTATATATTTGGCAAGTGCTGCAAGTCTGAAGGCAAGCCGTCAATAGTAATCCCAGCTATTGATACGGCAGTGGGCAGGAGATGTTACTTGGCCCCCGACTCCGACATCCCCCTGATCCCTCTACATCATAATTACATTAATATCGACACACCCTTGACAATAGTCACATTACTATTGATAGGTGGCTGTCAATACTGTGTTTCCCCAAATAAAACATATTCATTCATAACTTGTAAACTGCTCGATAAAAGGCTTTGAAAATAATATTGGACCCAGCCGGGTTTACTCTCCTGAGGGCTGCTGTTGCTGCTGTTGCTGCTGTAGTGACGGGGATTTCCACTCTACCTGCTGTGTATGTGCCAATGGATCTCTGCTATGCCTGTCAGTAGAAGCAGGTGGTTTGGACTAGTTTGTTTCAGTTCAGGAAATTTGTATTAAACACAAGTTTATCTCATTTTCAGAAGACAATTGTACTATTTCAAAAGCAGTATTAACTAAACATTTGCTTTTTACATATTCCCCAGGCACAGGATTATTGTTGATTGATGATTTATTTTTGTTCCTTTCAGGGATTGTCTCTGTCCTCTACACCCCTGCAACACCATTTAGTCCACCAGGAAATCAAACTCTAATATATAATCTCGGATTGATCAATTTTAGGGTGGTGCAGTGAGTGAGTGCTTAGAGCTCTCACCCTTCAGCAACAAAGCTCCTGGGTTTCCCTCCTGGGTGTTCTTTCTGAGTGGAGTTTGCATGTTCTGCTCGTGTGGAACATCCCCTGAACAAGAGATTTTGAATCTCTCTGGGACAATCCTGCTTAAATACAGGTCAATACATTTGATAATTATGTGTATTCACTGTTGTAAATTTGTATCAATATTTTTTTTATTCTTACCAATCTTAAATAATGGTGTAATAACAAGTTCAGCCATGAGAATGGTTGGCCATCATACTTTGGTGCCACTCAATACCTTAAATAAAATATTATGACAAAAGCCTGGAGGTGATTGATTTAATTGTGACAACCAATGAAAGTAAACCAAAACAAAGAGAAAAAACTATTACTGAATTATGTTTTTGATTAAACTTTATAAGTAAGTCTGTGCCTTAGTTGCACATTTTACCTTGAGTTTCATTAAGGCGTTGCAAAGTACATCCCTGCAGGTACTGTTTATTTAAACTCTATTTGATTCTTGGCATTCAAACTACATCTTAGCTTTTTAAAAATATAATCTTCAGTATACTTCCGTTGCAGGCGAGTTTCAATCCTAAACATTGCAGCTGCTCAATAAATTTGTCACACCTGCTTACCCAGGCTTGCATTCACCCTTTTCATTCATTTGCTAATTCTAACTTAGTTGGACGGTGTATCCAGGTTCTATTGAAGCCTCTTGAAAACGCAGATGCCCCTATGAGCCCCCATAAAGCTTTAAACCACTGCGACCATATTTCTTTCCACCTACTTGACAAAGTTGACCATCATATGTGCTTTTTTCTGTCAAAAGTGCCATATTTACGCAGCTGAAATCTCTTTTAAAGCCTTGTGACAAATCCTGTTCGGCAAGACACAAAAGCCAACGGCAGAGAAGTCCCCTCTATCACACCACCCCTTTACCGCTTTGCTATTAGTTAGTCTTAAGCATTTGAGGGCAGATAAAACTGGAGAGTATTTCAAACTGGACGTCACAATGGCCAGCTCTAGAATAAAAAAGTTCCACATTTTGCAGATATTTATGGTAAAGCAGGGAGCGCACTGTTGGCTTAATCCCTGGTGATGTGATTTGTACACAGCCCTATCTCCAGAAGGAACCTTTGGGCTGCACCCTCGTGTGTCTGTGTGCGGCTAAGACCCCCCCCGCTCCTCTGCATTGCACAGCTCAAAGGTTGCATTTAGGACGGGTTTTACATGTGAAAAGTGATTTCCGTTTGTGGGTATAAAGAGAAAATAACCTTGCTAACAGGATGGGCTGCAACTCCAGGGCCTCATACCAACAGCTTTAGCGGTTTGTCTCACTGTGTACATTAGTTGGCGATATATTGGGTGACTGTTGAAAGGGTACTTCCAAGTATTGTTCTCACTGTTATACATTGTTTTCCTGTTGTACTTTCAATTACTTTTAAAAACAGTTAGAGAACAGAGCTTGTATTTGTGTAGTCCATTGATACGTGTTAAGGTGATGACAAGAGATATGAGATATACAAGTCGGGAGATGGTTTTTTATGTATAACACGTCATTTATATCTATAATGGATCTATAATGCAGTGCAAAAGATATAGAGTTCTATTTACCCATTTGTTGGATAATTTTACGCTCCCTCTATCAATATGCTACGCTGCAACCTTTTACCAGCTTCACATTCGCGGTGAAGCAACTTTCGCTCCGACGTCAGCTCAATAAATTCTTCATTTCATTACCCAAATCTTGTATTTGCAAGAAAAAAACACAGTGCATCCAAAAAGACAATTTACTGTGAAACCACATGCCAAACACCCATGCAATGATGGCTCGCAGTTTTACGAGTTGTGGTTTGAAAATGAAGATGAATTTGCTCTAGATTCTCCTCATCAACAAGTGATAAAATCAAATTGACTGACACGCATTTGGTTTTTTATTTCCAGGCGGCGAAAAGAAAGACACCGGCGGTTCTGCTTCCGAGGCGGTAAATCCAGTCTTGCGCATCAGTCAGCTCGACGCTCTGGAGCTGGATTCTTCCCTGGAGCAGCTGATGTGGTCCCAGTTTTCCCTGTGCTTCCAGAACCTCCGGCCCGGCCTCCTCACCCCAGTGGAGCCCGAGCTAAGAGCCTTGCTACAGCTGCTTTTGTGGAAGTTCACCCTCTATCCCAACAGCGCCACGGTGGGACAATCTATTCTTAATGTGCGCTACCACAACTCGCTCTCTGCCTCTCCGCGCTACAGGCCCCTGTCCCGCAGGCAGAAGCTGGGGTTGGCCTTTCTCACCGCAGGTCCCCGCTGGCTCCAGGAACGATCACATAATTTGTTGGTTGCTTTAGGATTGGGTCCCGGAGGATCGGAGAGAGAGACAGTCAGGAATGGAGTACGAAACTGCTTCTCTTTCATATCCAGTGTCATCCAGTTTTCAAGCCTTTTGAACTTTTTGGTGTTTTTGCAAAAGGGGCAGCATCCCGTCTTGGCTGAAAGGATTGTGGGGGCTAAGGCCGTCTTTAGCAAACCTAATGTTGTCCGGGACATATCCTACCAGTACATGAACCGTGAGCTGTTATGGCACGGGTTTGCAGAGTTCCTCATCTTCTTTTTACCACTGATAAACACAAACAAAATGAAAACAATGCTGTATTCTACTTTATTTGGTAAAACCATGCCCAGGGATAATAACGCAAACGGTGAAATGGTTTGGAAAGAGTGCGGGTTTTGCGGAGAATGGCCCACGCTGCCACACACAGTTGGGTGTAGGCACGTTTTCTGCTACTACTGCATCAAAAGCCAAAGTATCGCAGACGCTGACCTCACGTGTCCCAAATGTGGAGCCGAAGCCGCGCTGCCCACACCGGTCGTGATGGCGGTGGAGGAGCGCTGAAGTAGGAGGACGTTTAGAAGAGGCATTGATTTTGGAAAGATGTCTCATGCCGGACAAAGTATAAAAATACTTAAGAGATGGAGTCTGTTTTCAGAAATGTGGGTTGCTCATGGTGTCAGTGATTACATAGATCAAATACAAATATTGTTTAAAAAAACACACTTTTCATTATAAAGGTAATGGGACTTTTAAAAATGAAAATGTAACAAAATACTTAATAATGTAAAAAATGTTTTTTAATTTGATTTGTATCAATAATGTTTGTTTTTTAAATAATCTTGAAGTTGATGTCTGTTTGATCTAAGTCTAAGTCATGATCACCTGTTATTACATATGCTTTCCAAAATGTTCTTTTCAAATAAAAATATATTTTATTAATATATTAGAAATAATGAAACGTTGCACAAATGGGATTGTGTGTATGAGAGTTTATCACTGACTGTTGCACTAAATGTATATTGAGCTGAGCGTGTGTCTGAGACTGGACTTTGGACCAGTCTGTTTGTCCAGAGCTCACTGGACACTGCTGTGACCAGATCCTGCTCATATTTGATGAGTGAACTTGATTTATGCCTCAAATTTGCTCTCTGTGTGCATGCGCGTGTGTTTGTTGAAATGGGAATATTTGTTCTGATGAAAAATGCAGAAAGTTGACTGAATAAATAATGGGGCGGAATTTTTGATGCCTCTCATCATGACCGAATTAGCATTTGTTGTGTATTTTGTGCCTAAATTGTGTTTCAACATCATTAAAATTGATAGAGTGCTACCTCTTGGGTGTTTGTTTAGCTAAGTGCCTCGATGAGGGAAAAGTTCTTACAATCAGGAGCGGCCCGCTCCATGCATAGACTGGGCCCTGATCATTCTAACTCCTATTATCCGTTTTCACAGCAGCCCAACATGCTGCAGATCAAGGGGGCAGCCGGGGGCGTGGATTGACTGCGTACTCACTCTCTTGACGGGCAGACCCTCTCTCTCTTCCTCCCCCTGTAATAATCTCTAGGGTGCTCGCCCTATAAGACTGTAGTAAACTGTACCAAAACCCTGGCAGCCTGCTCCTTCCTCGCAGGCGAATTACTCTCTAATCCCTGTAATGAGTCCAAAGATGCTTATTTATGCCGGAGTTAACCTCCACCAGTGAGCCCAGCCGCGGGCCAAACGCACCCCAGCTGAGTGAAGCCTTTCCCGGGCTGACACAAGATGAGCGTGGGGGGGTTGAGTTCCTCTCCTCTCTCCTCTCTGATCACCAGGGCTTAATTGCTGATTGCAGATCAATTGCATCTCCAGGCATGATAGAAAGCCTGTTGGAGAGATGGAGAAGGCAGACACACTTCTACTCCGCCCCATACATAGATGAAATATTATTATTTACGTTGAGAAGACTGGATTAAAGAGTAAAATATTTGACATCACAGGGCGTATGCTATGTCCCGGAGAATATTTGGAGGTTTGCACTGTGAATTATTGATGCCACTGACCAATGGGATCTTTATTTGCCCCACACAGACCTATTGAATTGATGTGCTGCGTCCTTGGTGATAAAGCAAGGCCGAAATTAATGAATTGAGAAACAGAGATGGTGCCACAGGATTCAGAGAAAGTTGGGTTAGGGTTCAAATATGCAGTGATGATTGGTTTGACATTTCATGAAATACATGTGAGAGGCCTCTTACATCAAGGACATTTTATATTATGCCAGAAGTCAAAAAGCACACACTGATATTTTATGCGATGATATAATGGCAGATCAGGTGCTGTTTGAGATGTATTTATGTTTATTCATTTGATGTTGCAGATGCAGAAGTGGGCTGACGTGCAACTCTCACATGGGCAGGTTTTCAGCCATTAGTTCCTCTTCAAATACAACACACAGATATATACTGTATACTAGGGACGGTCCACTGACTACTTCACTGATGTATTGTCCAAATGCATAGGGGATATTTTTAAATGTAACTTAATTACACCTGTACTGCAAAAATTCCAAAGTCAAGTACAGGCCAGGGTTGAAAAATCAGGCGAAATGGAAGTATCTTATATACAGTCCCACACAAAATCATATTACCACTGGTCTTCCATCACACTACTACCAGACCCTGCACTGCTTAGCTTAATAGATTTTTCAGGATCAGGTTTGGGATAAGCAGGTATGGTAACCTATCAAAGCTGGGAAAAAATCTCAAAATTTGCATAGATTAAATCAACGCTCCGTCCTTGCAAGCTTCTTAATAATAACACAATAATTTTAAGAATAGTTTTTATATATGAACAGTGCCTTTGTTTTCTTCGACTAAATAGAAGGAAAAATAAATCACAAATAAACTTGCCTTGGTAATTAAAGTAACATAGGCTATTCTATTAATGTCATGTCAGTTGAACAAAAACAACAATGGTAAAATAAATGACACTTGACACCCCTGCACATCCCATCAGACAAAAAAAAGAACATTTAAACTTATTCAAGTCGAAAAAGATGCATTTACAAGATCGTGTTAAACTTGAGCCCTTTTTACAGCGATTACCCCGGATCACTAATTGAAGCTCCCAGTCTCCGGAGTAAGACCAGACAAAGCCCAAACACTGCATTAAAGTCCATTAATTGACTTGAGCTGCGAGTTGCAAGTTTGATCTGTACTTTGGATTTGAGAAAAGGTAGCTGCAGCAGCACTAAGCTTATCTGTCGTAGGATCTCCTCTAATTCACAGGCCTGGATGTGCAGAGGAGCAGCCGATCCCCAGCGGCTATGCAAAGTAATCTACACGTTCACATGCAGCCATTTAGGAGCAAATTGGCCCCGTGCCCCCTCTGACGAAGGTTTAAGAGAAAGGGAATTAGTGCGCTGAATCCCTAACTATCTCTTCTGTGATGAAGCGCCTTATCCTCCTGTCCCTCATCTCCATGGCTTTGATCTGGGGCGTTGATTTTCCTGATTAAATAGTTTTTAAAGTAGAAAGCTCCTCTCTAGGCCCGTAATATGGGGTACTTTACTCTACCTATTGTAGCCTCATTGTCGTGGCTGCCTTCTTGTTCTACGGCCCGTCTGTGTGCTCTTTAATTGGAACGGGGCCCCTCGGCTGGTGGTAATACTAAGGATAGTACAATAGCTTTGATTCCTACATGTGTATTTTTATCTCTTGAAAGAATGTTATCATTTGAGCTTACGTCTGGCTTTTAGCTCTTCATTTGAAATAGCTTGAAGCTCTGGGAGAGCCTAATAAAATTAAGGAACCAAAATACCTGTATTTCCTGGACGTGTGCGAGAAGTGCATAAACAGTCAGATGTTGTGTAATGGATTTGGGAATAGTTCATGAGACATCACGGCATTCTTTCTGCCAATACACTTGTCTCCTATTCTGTATGTTTAATTATTTATGATTTATAATTCTGTAAATATAAATGATACAAAAACAATGTTATATTGTCTATCGGCATCACTGTCGGTTTCAGAAAGTGGGTGTACCTGTATGTGAAAGCCAGATTTCGTCAGATCTTTGAAGCTGTGCAGGGCAGGGCCTGATTAGTACTGTGATGGGAGACCTCTGGCAACACCAGGTGCCACAGTGGGGCGGCTGCGGCTGTGAAATGCCAAACTGCTATTGTGTCCTTAGGCAACACACTTCACCCACATTGCCTGGAATGAATCTGGTGTGTGTGTGTGTGTGTGAATGGTTGGTGGTGATCAAAGGGGTTGCTTGTACATATGGGTTGCCTCACTTCTGTCAATGTGCCCCAGGGCAGCTCTGGCTTCTGCAGTAGTTTATCACCAACGTGTATAGAGTGAAAGAATAATGAGATGTGTCTTTAAGTGGTTCTGTTGTCCAAACTTAAAGGTGTAATTGTTGTCAGTTCAAAGTATCAGTATGAAAAATGTTTGGATTAGCAGTTAATAAAAAAGTGTCTAGAAGTCAAAGTAGAACTCTAAAGTGTGTAGATTTTAAAAACTGAAAATATTCATTAAGTTGCAAATACATTAATCTAATTCTTGAACAAGGACATGAACCGATTGATGCGTAATATTCCCATTTCAATCATTAAAGTTCTGTGTTTCACTCTGACCCTCCATGATCTCACAGTTTTAGCTTGCCCACCTCTGCCTGTGCTCCCGTGCTGTAAGCCTTTGCCTCCTTTTCAGCAGCTCAGGAATCACATCCCACTTGTAACAGGAAGCCGACATCACCTTCACAAAAGCCAATGACACGATCTCGCTGTCTAGAGAGAGAGAAAAAAAAAGATATATCAAAAATGTTGCGTTTATTTGTTGTTTGTCTCGGAGGATTCCTGACACCTGTTCTCTCCTTTTCTTGTGGCATGTCCGATATGTCAATAGCGTTTACAAGTATCTTTCGTATTTCATCTATTCAATAAAAGGCATTCCAAACGTAAAATTCCTCCAAGGTAGAGAAAATCCTAGGTGCGTGGAGTTCAGGGATACAAGACTTTTTTTTCGTCTTTTGGATACCAGCGGGCCCAATTATTTTACACAGCCTCCTCATGTTAACCACCTCTTCAGTCTGACAGGTCAGAGGCACAATCAATCACAGCTAAAATAAGGGAGTCATTTCCTTGGCTTTTATTGTGCTATCGGAAATTTGTCCGCTTGTATTTCAGACCTGGGGAAAAATGGACCGGGATAGGGAATGTGCTTTGTTAGAAGAACACAAGCTAACGTTAGGGGTATATGTGATCTATATGTTCAATTCAATACTAGCAAAAGAGGGGGGGGATTATCTGCCGGTTTTGTCAATAAAAGCTGATCTATACAACCAAGTTCAGGTGCATCTTCCTATACATCACATCAGAAAAGTGTACAGACATTGTCAAAAGGATTCCAAGGCGCAGGATTGTTGATGAATAATTGATATGCAGGTCAAATTATAGGTGGGCTATATAACTATTATGGGGGGGAGATGTTATTACTTTTCCATGAGTGGGGAGCAATTGCGTCAGCTTTTTGTTCAATAGCTGGGGGGAAAAAAGCGAGCAGAAAATGTGCAAAACC